GAGGGGCCCTTATCACTATCCTACAGGTTGAGCCCTGCCGCTCCCCAGCTGAGTCACAGCATGCATCCTGCCCCACCCCCACCCTCCCTAGTGCCAAGGGGCACTTCTCCTCCCTGGCTGGGTTCTGGGGCAGAAGGGTGGGCAGAGCTGGTGGGGATCATGGAATCTGGGCTCTGGGCTGCCCCAGGGACAGTGACAACAACCCGCCCAAGTTGTTGCAGCTTTTCCAGAATAGAGGTGGGCTTGAGGGTGTTAATGGGAGATGTCCCAAGCCTTGTAGCCCTTCTGGGTTTCCATGCAGCATCATGGTGGGAGAGGCAGCTGGAATGGAGGAGTGAGTGTAGTAGTCAGCTTTCCTGATTTCTACTGTGAGGGTCGGCGCTGTGGCACAGCGGGTTAACGCCCTGGCCTGAAGCGCCAACATCCCATATGGGCTCCAGTTGGGGTCCCTGCTGCTCCACTTCTGATCCGGCTCTCTGCTGGGGCCTGGGAAAGCAGTCGAAAATGGCTCAAGTCCTTGGGCCCCTGCACCCGCGTGGGAGACCCAGAAGAAGCTCCCAGCTCCTGGCTTTGGATAGGCACAGCTCCTGTCATTGGGGCCATCTGGGGAGTGAACCCTCGGATGGAAGACCTCTCTCTCTGCCTGTCTTCTTTCTGTGTAACTCTGGCTTTCAAATAAATAAATAAATCTTTAAAAAACAAAAGTACTGTGGTAACAAACACTCCCCCAACCTCGGTGTTTACAGCCACAAGGCATTACCTCTCACTCATGTTGGCAGCAGCATTCTTACCTGATTTAAACAGCTGCATTGTGGGACCTATCTGGGCCAAGCTGGACCTGGGGCACAGGACAAACAACATGGCAGAGCGAAGCAATGGTGCTTCCAGCCTCCACTAGGGGAGTAGGCAATTTGCCTAGTGTGGTTAAGACACCTGTGTCTCATATCAGAGTATCTGGGTTCAATTGCCAACTCTGGCTGCTCATTCTAGTTTCCTGCCAATGCACCTGGGAGGCAATGGTGACGGCCCAAGTAATTGGGTCTCTGCCACCCATGTGGGAGACCTGGACTGAGTTCCTGGCTCCTGGCTCTGGTGCCTGCCCAGCCCTGGCCATTGTGGACATTTGAGGAGTGAACCAAGAGATAGAAGCTTCCCCCCCCCCCCCCCGCCTCTGAAGTAAATAAAAAATAAATTTAAGGTGCTGGCACTGTGGCACAGTGGGTTAATGCCCTGGCCTGAAGCGCTGGCATCTCATGTGGGCGCCGGTTCAAGACCCGGCTGTTCCACTTCCGATCCAGCTCTCTGCTATGGCCTGGGAAAGCAGTACAAGATGGCCGAAGTCCTTGGGCCCCTGCACCCACACAGGAGACCCAGAAGAAGCTCCTGGCTCCTGGCTTTGGATCAGCACAGCTCCGACCATAGTAGCCAATTGGGGAGTGGACCATTTGATGAAAGACCTCTCTCTCTCTCTCTCTACCTCTCCTCTCTCTGTGTAGCTCTGACTTGCAAATAAATCTTTAAAAAAATAAAAATAATTTTTAAAGATTTGTTTTTTAGAAGGCTTCCACTGGGATATGCAAGTGTTGTTTCATTGTTCAAAGCAAGTCACAGGCTCAGAAGTTGGTCAATGGGTTAGGGAGACAGAATTCTGTCCCTACAGGCATAGGGCAATGAATAGTTAGGTACAGTATTGCAACCTACCACAGTGGGTCTCCTGACATAGGCTGAAAGATTCCTTTTCAGGAAGAGAGACGGTGTAGTAGAGAGATCGAAGCTTGGGAACAGACAGGTCTAGATTAATGTTGGCCAATTAATTTAACTTCTCTGAATGTTTTCATCTACAGAATGGGAACGATACCTAGTTCACATGGTAATTTTGAGGATCAATGAGATGGTACAGGTGACGCCTCTGGCATACTAAAGTAGGAGCACAGTGAATACTTGTCCCTATGATAATTCCTCCCCAGCTCCATAACTCTGGAGGTACTCATTACCAAAACTCCTACTAGCCTCACAGGATTGGAATCGAATTGAGATCCCAAATCAAGAGCACTCTGGAGGCTGGCAATGTGGTGTAGTGGGTAAAGCTGCCGCCTGCAGTGCCGGCATCCCACGTGGGTGCCGGTTTGAGTCCTGGTTGCTCCACTTCTGATCCAGCTCTCTGCTATGGCCTGGGAAAGCAGTGAAGATGGCCCAAGTCCTTGGGCTCCTGCACCTGAATAGAGACCCAGAAGAAGCTCCTGGCTCCTGGCTTTGGATCAGCCCAGCTCCAGCTGTTGTGGCCATTTGGGGAGTGAACCAGCAGATGGAAGACCTCTCTCTTTCTGCCTCTGCCTCTCTAACTCTGCCTTTCAAACAAATAAGTAAATCTTTAAACATTTATCTGAAGTAATCAGAGATGTGGCAAAAATGTTTATATAAAGAGATAGTTATCACATTTTATTTACATAGTGAAAAAAGAAATTCAACCTAAAAGGAAATGATTAAATATATTATAATACAATCATGATGAAATTCTATGAAGTAATTAAAATTATTTCTAATGATCTGGTAAGCTTATTAGCTATTACAAGTGAAGAAAGGCAGTCAAAGTAAGTTTTTAAATAAAATTTGGTAGAAGTGTTATGTATATAAAATATTAATCATGTATCTGAGTAATAGGATTTAGGTGGTTTTATCCTTTTTGGTATTTTCTAAATTTTCTCCAATGAGCACAAATTTATCTACACGATCAGAAAAAACATCTAGAGGGGCCGGTGCTGTGGTATAGCTGGTAATGCCACCACCTTCATGCCGGTATTCCATATGGGTGCCGATTTGAACCCCGGCTGCTCCACTTCCGATCCAGCTCTCTGCTGTGGCCTGGGAAAGCAGTAGAAGATGGCCCAAGTCCTTGGGCCCCTGCACCCTTGTGGGAGACCCGGAAGAAGCTCCTGGCTCCTGGCTTCGGATCGGCACAGCTCCAGCCGATGTGGCCATTTGTGGAGTGAACCAGTGGATGGAAGACCGCCTGCCTCTATCTCTCCTTTCTCTGTGTAACTCTTTCAAATACATAAATAAATCTTTAAAAAGAAAAAACACCTAGAGATGTTTTCTGAAGCCTTCTGCAGATGGAGCCCTCTAGGCCTGCACAGCACCCTCTCCCGGCCGATGCTCCGAGGCTCCGAGGCAGGTCACCGCCCTGTGTCTGCCAGGAGCCAGCTTTGCTAGACCGTCCTCTTACCCTGTTATCTGAACCTGGCTGCAGGACCTTGAACAGGCGTTTTATTTCTCTAAACTTAGGGCATTGTCTTCTATAAAATGAAGCGTCTGACTGAAGGATCTTTAAAGATTGGCTTCTGAGATTCAGATAATGTATTGAGATATTCATTGTGAATAATGCTCCATGACTGACCCTTCTTCAATGTATAGATCTGAAACACAGCACTGGTATGTATCTAAAGCTAAGGGAATGGCTAACAGTGGAATTCACATCAGACTGTGAATCACCTACACCCAAACACTGATGTAACAGCTTTTAACACACAGCTCACCGACTAGGTGTTATCTGGCCCAATGGTGACCAGACGGAGATGAGCACTGGGGCGGTCAGTACCCTGGGAGGGAGAGGAAGACACGTCTGCGTGGAGGAGCAAGCCAAGTTCCTGGGTGTGGAGCTCCCTTCCCTTTCCTGTCCCCTGCCTCCAGCCTCAGCTGTTCACTGCTGTCTGCTTCCTCTGTCACCATCCACCTCCCTGTGGCTGAGTGAGGCTGATGTCAGCGTGGTTCCCCGGTGGCTGGTGGCTCAGCCACCACAGCCTAGGAAAGGAAAGGGTGTGATTCATGCCCAAGTCCACTGCGTCAGCCAGGTGGGCCTGCCCGGGGGCTCCTCTGGGGCAGGGAGCTGTCCTGGCAGACACAGAACCCATCTATCTCCCTTTCCCATCCACGAACCCCTCTTGTCCGAGAAGATTCCATCCCTTCTAAGCCCCAGAGGCTGTGCCTGGGTAGAGCCAAGACAACTCCACAAGGAAGAAAATAGGCCTGGTCAGAGCTGCCCAGCCCATCCTCTCAGGTGTTGGGCTGGAGCCCAGCCTGTCTGCAGGGCTGAGTCGTTTTCTTGCAAGGAGAGTGTATTTTCAGTGCCCCGGTGCTGGGTGACCCTGGGCAAGCTGGAGAACAGCCTGGAGTTTCCATTCCCCTGGCCAAAAATAAATGTGAAATAATAAACTCACCTCGTGGAGTTGCTGTGCCCTAAGTAAAACCTACAGGCCTGGCTTCGGAAGGTGCGGGGTCGATGTTCATTCTGAAATAGAAGAGAAGCCCCATTGCCTTTGAACTTGCCGGCAGATCTGAGAGCTGCTGAGCCATCATCCAGGAAACACAGTGTCGTGAACTCGCCAGGTTATCTGGGGTTGTTCGGTCTATGCCTGTGCCATCCACATAGGTGCAGCAGAGTGGCCGGAACTGCAGCCTGGGCACCTGGGATGGTTTGGGGGTCACCCTTTTAGGCTGTGAAAGGTGCCTTGGGCTGTCCAGAGCCTGGGGACCCTTCTATCCCAGGGTCCGCTGAGCGTCTCTCCCCTGCTTGGTGAAGAGTCGGGACAGGGCCCTTTGTCAGGGAGTGTAGACAAGGACAAAGGAGACCTGGCCCACGCATTACTAGCCTGGACCAGTACTTCGTGATTTAGCTTCCGCCATGGTCTTACAGGCCATTGTCACTAATCCTTTGTTCAAATTGTGGATGCTGCCCACCGTGGATATTTTGGTACTTAGAAAACGATTGCATTAAAATATTATTTACCTAAATGGCTCAATTTCTTGGCACTCCTTTAAATTTTGCTCCTACTGATGGAATCCTTGGCTCTAGCATTTTTTGGGGCAGGGGGTGTTTCCGGGGCAGAGGTCCTTGCAGACACTGTGCCTGTCTCCTTAAACCTGTGCCCTTCTGGCTCTTGGGAATTTTTCTCTGCCCCGCCTCCCCACCCCCACCCACCCCCACCAACACCACCACCAGAGGCCCAGGGGAAAAGTCCCCAGTCCAGGTCCACACTGCCCATGCTTGCACTGAGCTCAGAGATGTTTCCGTATCTTCGCAGTCCTTTCAGCTCCGTTTCGTTCCCGTATTAACCGCGGGCAATAGGCCAAGTGCTAGGCAGGCGCTGGTTCGGGGCGGCGAAGGAGGAAGCTGGACAGAGCTGGAAGAGGACAGGCAGCGCACGGTGCACCTGGATGCGGTGCCCTGCGCGGGCGGGGCGTCCACGTTCCGAACCGTGAGGACGCACCGCGGGCCCCGAAGCCCCTCCAGCCGGGAAAGTTAGGGCAGAAACCCCGATCCGGCTCGACTTCCTGCCCGGGAGGCTCCGCGGCCGCGGGCGCTGGACCCGCGCCAGGGAGGCGTCGCTCCCGCCGCGTCGGAGCCGCTTCCTGAGCGCGGGCTGTGCGGGCGCCGGGACGGCGCACCTGGGCTGGCCTGGGCGACATGGAGGACGGCGTGCTCAAAGAGGGCTTCCTCGTGAAGCGGGTGAGTGCGCGCCCGGGGCCCGGGGGACCTTGCGTCTCACCGGAGCGGGGCGCACGCGCGCCCTAGCCCGGGCGTGCCCGGAGTGGGGTCCGGCAGCGTGGGGACGGCGGGGCAGGGGAGGGAGGAGGACAGTGAATGGACTTCAGGGAAAGCTTCAGCTGGCAGAGCGGGGGCCACTCACGGGCACCCGGTGAGAGCCCCGCCTGGTGGGTGCGGTGTGGCCACAGAAGCCTGACTTAAAGTAACTTACTGAGCCGTGGTGAATATTTAAATATATTTTGTGAAAGTAGCATAGACAGGCGCCATGGTTTGCAACCAGTGAGAAGGGAGGAATGCACTTACCGTGCCTGGCGGGCCAGGGAGGCTGGCTGCCGTAACTCCCAGTAGTACGGCCTTGCCCCTTTCACCCAGTGGGAAACAAAGCCCGGAGAGGGTCTGTGGCTTGCTCAGGGTCACAGAGGAGGTGGGTGATGGGGCCAGAGTCAGCCCCCCTCGGGTCGTCCCCCAGACCCTTCCTGTCTGCCCAGTGCTGTGCACAGTGGGTTTCGTGATCACTGTGTTACAGGTGAGGACACACAGAGGGTGAGAATGCTGGTGGCTGGGCCAGAGCTGGTCCTGGCCCTGTTCTGACCCTCCATGCCTAGCTCTTCCCCATCACCACTGCAAGCAAGCGGCAGTCCAGACAAAAGCAGGATGCCTGGGATCAAGAAATTGAATGAGAGCAGCTTCAAGGGGAAGTTTGGTATTTTCCAGTTATGTTTGATGTTCCTACTGAGGTTAGCATGAGCGTCTATGCTAACGTGCAGCAGTGTGCACAGGTAGCGAAGGCTGGGGACGAGCCTCAGGACTCTTCCACTGCTTTCCAGTTCTGTGTGTGTGTGTGTGTCTGTGTTGGGGGAGGATAATGACAGATGAAGGGGCTTTCCTTTCCGTGACTTCCCCTGGTGGCCAGATCAGCCCCACTGGCCCCTGAAAGCTCAAATCATTGAGCCTTCTGTTCCCTCTGTAACGTGTCTGTATTTTGTTATACGTTATTTGATGCAGGAGGGAGGGTGGATTATTTGCTCAAAACTGCACACAAGGAGAGTGGGAGGCTGCAGCCGATCAAGGGTCACACTGGACATACACAGTCCACAATTCCACACCCAGTTTGTGGCTACAATGGTAGGCGGGTCCTTTTATGCAGCTTGTGAGGGGACAGACAGTGTGTGAGGTGGGCAGAGGGGTTTTGGGTGGACTCTTGGTAGCTGGCCCTGCTAGGGGCCTAGGAAAGAATGGAGTCAATACAAAGGACAGACCCCACCCTCCTCAGATGGGGCCTTGGGGGCCTCCTCCTGTTCCCAGGGAATACATACATGATCCCCCACCACCACCACCTTGCAGTGTCAGAGGGCTAGAGCTACAGGGCCCCCCGGGGATATCCCCGGGAAAGTACAGGATTACCCACCAGATGGCCTGGGCAGGGAATCCAGGGTGCAGCAAAGTGAGCAGAATCAACGGGTCTGGCCTGGAGGACGCAGAGGACTTGGCTGAGATGCCCAAAACTCCGTTCCCTCCTCTGAGGCAAGCAGAAGCCACGCCCCTCACTGCAGGTGAGGGAGTGGCCCCAATGCCCAGGCTGTGGTCTCCGCCTACTGAGCCCTTCAGTTCTGACTTTTTCTTCTCCACCCCAGTTTCCCTTCCTCCTGGGTGACTGCCTGAAAAGTTACAGGTCTGCGGCAGTGGGTCGCGCAGATTTAGGAGGGTTTAGAGCTCGAAGGTGGGGCTGGCCCCCACCCCACGCTGGAAGGCAGACAGCAGAATAGTGGTCACCGGGCAGGGCAAAGCTGCAGACGGGCAGGCAGGGGCACGATGGGCTTGGCTCTGAATTCCGCCCAGACAAGAAAGCAGCAAAACTCCAGACGAAATGCAGGGCCTGGCTGTTAGGAGAGTGGGGGAGGAGGAGGCATGGATCAGCTGCGGGCAGGACCGCCTTTCTGGTAAGAAGAGGCAGAATGGGGCAGGCATTTGGGCTAGTGGCTAAGCCAACTGTTAGGATGCCTGCATTTCACTTTGGAGTGCCTGGGTTTGATACCCAGCTTCAGCTCGCTCGCTCGCTCGCTCCTTCCTTCCTTCTTCCTTCCTAAGATTTATTTATTTATTTATTTGAAAGACAGTGTTAAAGAGACAGAGAGATTTTCCATCTGCTGGTTCACTCCCCAAATGGCCACAATGACTGGAGCTGGGCTGATCCGAAGCCAGGAGCCAGAAGTCTCTTCCAAGTCTCCCACATGGGTGCAGGGGCCCAAGACTTGGGCCATCTTCTGCTGCTTTCCCAGGTGCATTAGCAGGGTGCTGGATTGGCAGTGGAGCAGCTGGGACTTGAACCGGCACCCATATTGGAAACTTTACCCGGTACACCACAGCACCAGCTCCCAGCTTCAGCTCCTGACTCCAGCTTCCTGCTAATTCAGTCTCTGGGAGGCAGCGGTGATGGCTGAAATCACAGTGTTCCTGCCGCCCACATGGGAGGCCTGGATTGAGCTCCTGGCTCCTAGCGGTGGCTTCCTCCTTGAGGGCATTTGGGAAATGAATCAGCAAATGGAAGCTCTCTTGCCTGCACCTGCTCTCTCTCTCACTCTGTCCAGGCAGAAGCACTTGTAGGCCTTGCTCCGGGTTCCCAGCGTGAATGCCATAGCAGTATTCACACGTTTTAGCCTGGGAATTTCATCCGTAGGGCTCTATTCCAAGGAAACACCGTACAAGCTTTCTGAATACTGCCTTTTTTTTTAAAAAGATATTATTTATTTATTTGAGAGGTAGAGTTACAGACAGTGAGAGGGAGAGACAGAGAGAAAGGTCTTCCTTCCGTTGGTTCACTCCCCAAATGGCTGCCACGGCCGGAGCTGCACCGATCCAAAGCCAGGGAGCCAGGAGCTTCATTCCAGGTCTCCTATGTGGGTGCAGGGGCCCAAGGACTTGGACCATCTTGTACTGCTTTCCTGGGCCACAGTAGAGAGCTGGATTGGAAGAGGAGCAGCTGGGACTAGAACCGGTGCCCATATGGGATGCCGGCACTGCAGGCGGAGGATTAACCTACTGCTCCACGGTGCCGGCCCCTGAATACCGTGTTATTTATGCATGGAAAAAACTGGAAAATACCTATATGTCCTCCCAAATAAAAAAATGATTAGATAGGTTATGGTTATGTGGGTGTTAAAATGTTTATAGTAGTAGAATGCACAGATTCAAATGATAAAAGGTATGAAGAAAGAAAAAAAATATGCATACAAGAGGAAAGGAGTTCTGGAGGTTACAAGTCCAAAATCAAGGTGTTGGCAGGGCTCCCCACCCCTTAGGGCTGGAACCCTCACTGCAGCCACGCCAGGCGCCATATTGTTATACAAGGGGTTCAAAAATGTTCCTAGAAAGTGCAATTAAAAGGTATATATTTTAGTGGAAAAAAATTATGAAATGCATGCATATGAGGGACTTAAAAACGTTCATGGGGAATGTGTATTATGAAAAAACTAGGCCGGCGCTGCGGCTCGCTAGGCTAATCCTCTGCCTGTGGCTCCGGCACCCCAAGTTCTAGTCCCGGTTGGGGCGCCGGATTCTATCCCGGTTGCTCCTCTTCCAGGCCAGCTCTCTGCTGTGGCCCGGGAAGGCAGTGGAGGATGGCCCAAGTGCTTGGGCCCTGCACCCACATGGGAGAGCGGGAAGAAGCACCTGACTCCTGGCTTTGGATTGGTGCAGCTCCGGCCGTGGCAGCCATTTGGGGAGTGAACCAACGGAAGGAAGACCTTTCTCTCTGTCTCTCTCTCTCACTGTCTATAACTCTCTCTGTCTCTCTGAAAAAAACAAACAAACAAAAAACAAAACAAAACAAAAAAAACAAACCTATATGTGCATTTCAAAATTTTTTGCCCCCAAATAAACATCTTTAATTTGTTTTCCAGGAACTTTTGGAAATTCTCCTATATTTAGACTGTTTTCCTGTTCTGCTGCCCTTGCCACAGCGCCAGTTTCCCCATTGTCAATCATGCATTATTGCTCTGTGAGCAGGGTGGCAGAAGCTTGGTCACGTGTCTGTCCCCTAAGTGCCAGGGATTCTGGGAAATTAAATTTTTTGTCTAGGACTTCACAACAGCTCCGTGTGTGTTTTTTTTCTGCTCGACATCTCTTGGCTATGTTTTGCCCCCTTGCACATCCTGCCCCCTTCCACCTTTCCCTGTAGTAGTAGTGTGCTAGAACTGTCCCAAGAAACCACAGACTGGGGTGACTTCAACAACAGAGATTCATTTCCCGTGGTCTGGAGGCTACAGGTCCAAGGTGGTTTCTTCTGAGGTCCCTCTCTCCGGCTTGCAGATGGCTTTCCTCTGGGCCCAGGCCTCCCTGGTGGCTCTTGCATGTCCAATTGCCTGTCTTTATTAGGACACCAGTCAGGTCAGATCGGGGCCCTCCCTGTTGGGCCATCTTAATCACCTCTGGATGGGCCCTGTCTCTAACTATGGTCACAGCCACATTCTGAGGTCCTGGGGTTAGGGCTTCAACATAAGAATTTTGGAGGCAACAGAACTCATCTCACAACACCTTTGGTGTTTTTTGTTTTTGTTTGAGAAAGACATAGAGAAAGACAGAGAGCTCCCATTTGTTTGGTTCAACCCTGAATAGCCCCAGTGGCTGGGACTGGGCCACGCTGAAGTCAGGAGCTGGGAAATCAATTGGGGTCTCCCACGTGGGTGGCAGGGAGCCGACTACTTGAGCCATTACCCCTGCCTCTTGGGGTCTGCACTGGTAGGAAGCTGGAGCCAGGACTTTGAACTGCGATGGGGGATGAGGCCTCTTAGCTGCTAGACTGAGCATCTGCTTACGTACCTGTGCTTACGTACCTGTGCTTACGTACCTGTGCTTGCGTACCTGTGCTTGCGTACCTGTGCTTGCGTACCTGTGCTTTCGGTTGAAGAGATTTTGCACTTTCCTCCTCTGCACCGCACACCAGCCCTCAGACCATCAGTTTGGGTTGCATTCTCTTCTCCCTACAGCGGCCACAGCCTGGTCCCCCAGCCCTTACTGCCTTGAGTTCTGCAGCACCCAGATGCCCCAGGCCAGCTCCGCTCTGCTGCCTGGGTTTGGATGGGGGTGGGGAGCTGAGGCTGGGCTACAGAACCCCAGGAGCTGAGGGCTAAGACCCTGGTTTTGTAAAAAAAAAAAAAAAAAAAAAAAGACCCTGGTTTTGTTGTTGCTATTTCTAGTTTTCCTGTGTCAGATAAAATTGTCACCCCTCAGGAGGCCACATGCATGTTCTAAGTAAGGAACAAAGTGAAGAGATAAAAACTGTCAAATTCAGGGGACACTATGAATACCACTAAGGCGTGTTAGTAAACTGTCGGATTAGCTCAGTTCTAAGTTTCTTTATTTTTTATTTTTATTTATTTATTTATTTTGACAGGCAGAGTGGACAGTGAGAGAGAGAGACAGAGAGAAAGGTCTTCCTTTGCTGTTGGTTCACCCTCCAATGGCCGCCGCGACTGTCGCGCTGTGGCCGGCGCACCGCGCTGATCAGATGGCAGGAGCCAGGTGCTTTTCCTGGTCTCCCATGGGGTGCAGGGCCCAAGCACTTGGGCCATCCTCCACTGCACTCCCTGGCCACAGCAGAGAGCTGGCCTGGAAGAGGGGCAACCGGGACAGAATCCGGCGCCCCGACCGGGACTAGAACCCGGTGTGCCGGCGCCGCAGGCAGAGGATTAGCCTATTGAGCCGCGGTGCCGGCCTTATTTTTCTTTAAAAAATTAAATTTTTTAAGGGAGAGAGAGAGTGTGAGCTTTCCCATCTGCTGGTTCACACCCCCCCCCCAAATGCCTGCAATGGCCAGGCTGAAGCCAGGGGTCAGGGACACAATCCAGGCCTCCCATGAGGATGGCAGAGACCCAATTGTTGAGCCATCACTGCTGCCTCCCAGTGTGTGCATTTGCAGGAAGCTGGAGTCCAGAGCTGGAACTGGGCGTGGAGTCCAGGCTGTCTGTTGTGGGACCTGGGCCTGTTTAACTGCTAGGCCAAACACCTGTTCCTGCTATAACTGTTATTTGGTTGCCATAGCAACTTCTATTTGGAGACAAATCAGTGCTCCTGAAGCATATTTGCATATAAATAAGTTTCAGCTGGCAATTCCTTTTACAACTTCTCTTCCCTAACAGCTCTCAGTGTGTGCTGAGCATGGGAAGAATCATATCAGTTGCACCATGAATGTGAGAATGCAGGGGCCTTTGATATTAGTAAGTCCTAGGAAGGAAATGAATTAGCTCAGTGTCCTTGATTCAGATAAAGCACAACCATGTCAGAACCTAGCCTTGAAGGATCCCTGCTCGGAAATATGCTGAGAATGCGCTCGCTTTCTTTCTTTTTTAAATTATTTTTTAAAAGATTTATTTTATTTATTTCAAAGGCAGAGTTACAGAGAGAGAGGGAGAGACAGACAGAGAGAGGTCTTCCATCTGCTGGTTCACTCCCCAAATGGCTGCAACAGTCAGGGCTGGGCCAGACCGAAGCCAGGAGCCAGGAGCTTCTTCCCAGTCTCCCACATGGGTGCAGGGGCCCAAACACTTGGGCCATCCTCTGCTGCTTTCCCAGGCACACTAACAGGGAGCTGGATTGGAAGTGGAGCAGCTGGAACATGAATCAGTGCCCATATGGGATGCCAGTGTCACAGGTGGCGGCTTTACCCGCTGTGCCACAATGCTGGCCCCAAGAATATGCTTTCATGAGTGCACACCAAAACCATTTCTTTCTTTCTGTTTTTAAAGATTTATTTTATTTGAAAGAGTTACAGAGAGAGAGGGAGACACACATACACACACACACACACACACACATACACACACAGATCTTCCATCTGCTAGTTCACTCCCCAAATGGCCTCCATGGCTGGGGTTGGACCAGGCTGTAGCCAGGAGCCTGGAATGCCATCTGAGTGGATGGCAGCACGTAGGCCATCTTCTGCTGCTTTCCCAGCTACAGCAGGGAGCTGGACAGGAAGTGAAGCATTCGGGAGTCGAACCAGTGCCCATGTGAGATGTCAGGGCTTAATTCTCTGTGCCACAGTGCTGGTCCCAGACCTGCTTCTTTCTGATCACTCAGCTGACACGGTCCTATCCGCTGGTCTATACTGGAAACAGGCTCTCTGCCTTCACCTGCCTACCCTGTCAATTGGGGTTCTCCCACCTAAGAACTCCCAAAATTACTCTTCCTTTAATGCCTACCACAGTTGTGGCTTCAACATAGAAACTGCCCACAGTCTGAGGGCCCCGCATTGTGGAACAGCTGGTTAAGTTGCTCCTATATGAGCTCCTATTGAAGTCTCGGCTGCTCCACTTCTGATCCAACTTCCTGATGATGCTACGGGAGAAGCAGTGGAAGATGGTTCAGGTGCTTGGCTTGCTGCACCCACATGGGAGACCGGTTGGAGTTCTGTAACTGTCTTTCAAATAAATAATTTTTAAAAAAATAGAAACTGTGACTGGCGCTGTGACGTAGTGGGTAAAGCCACTGCCTGCAGTGCCGGCATCCCATATGGGTGCTGGTTTGAGTCCCAGGTGCTCCACCTCCGATCCAGCTGTCTGCTGTGGCTGAGAAAGCAGTAGAAGATGGCCCAACTCCTTGGGCCCCTGTACCCACATGGGAGACCCAGAAGAAGCTCCTGGATCCTGGCTTTGGATTGGCACAGCTCCAGCCATTGCAGCCAATTGGGGAGTGAACCAGCAGATGGAAGATCTTGCTTTCTCTCTGCCTCTGCCTCTCTGTAACTCTGCCTTTCAAATAAATAAATAAGTATATAAATAAATAAATAAAAATAGAAAGTAAAAAGAAAAAAGTCTGGAAGGGATGCCAAATGCTAACAATGGCTATCTCTTGTCACTGGGATTATAGCTGAGTGATTTTTTTCCTCTTCTTTATATTTTTTAACACTTAGCATGCATACTTTTTTTTTTTTTAAGATTTACTTATTTATTTGAAAGTCAGAGTTACACAGAGAGAGGAGAGGCAGAGAGAGAGAGAGAGAGGTCTTCCATCCGCTGGTTCACTCCCCAGTTGACCGCAACAACTGGAGCTGCCCCAATCCAAAGCCAGGAGCCAGGAGCTTCTTCCAGGTCTCCCACGTGAGTGCAGGGGCCCAATGACTTTGGCCGTTTTCTACAGCTTTCCCAGGCCATAGCAGAGAGCTGGATTGGAAGTGGAGCAGCCGGGACTGGAACTGGCACCCATGTGGGATGCCGGCACTGCAGGTGGTGGCTTTTACCCACTACACCACAGTGCAGGGCCCCTCTTCTTCGCAGTTTCTTTCAAGGTTTTTAAGCAGGAAAAAGGCCAAATGGGAGTTAGAAGGTCAATGCCAAAGGTCTTTGCTTCAGACCAAAGGTCCAAACAAAGATGCTGTTCTCCCCATCATTGCCGGAAAGTACTTTCCGTGTGGTTCCCTGTGTGTGGGGACAGCTGCCTCCACGTGACACCCTGCCCTTGGCCACCTCGCCTCAGGGTTTTTCTGTCTGATTCTAGGGTCACATCGTCCACAACTGGAAGGCTCGATGGTTCATCCTTCGGCAGAACACGCTGCTGTACTACAAGCTGGAGGGGGGTCGGAGAGTGACCCCTCCCAAGGGCCGGATCCTCCTGGACGGCTGCACCATCACCTGCCCCTGCCTGGACTATGAGAACCGCCCTGTAAGTGAGCCCCTGCTGCCGAGCTCCTCCCTGCCCTACACACCTCTGGCTTCTCTGGGGAAGGAAGGGTGGGTAACAGGAAGAGCTAAGAGTTATCCCTGGAGCCTGGGATTCAGATCCTGGCGTCCCAACGTGCCGGGTCTGTGACACTGGGCAAATAGTTAAACCTCTCTGTGCCTTCCTTTATTAGCTGGAAAATGGGATGATATCACGCATGGTTGTGATGAAGATCATCAAGGCAATGCACTGTGAAAACACTTGCAGGCTAGGAAGCAGGCTCAACACCCATGTGGGTTGTTACCGCTGTCTTGGGGTTCATTGTGATGGATAAATAGTCTGCAGTTGCAGCGAAAATTCTATTCCTGAAGAGGAGGAAGAAGCCATCCTAATCTGTTTGGGTTAGGTATGGCTCCAGGAGTAGAGATTGGGGCACAGATTGAAAGAGGAGAGATGCAGAAGTTTGGGGAAGGTGGTATGTCTTGAGTAAAAGTTAGGAGAGGGGCCAGTGCGTTAAGCCGCGACTGCAATGTAGGTATCTCCAAAGGGTGCCTGTTCAAATCCCAGCTGCTCCACCTCTGATCCAGCTCCATGCTAATAAGCCTGGGAAAGCAGCGGAGGACGGTCCAAGTGCTTTGGTCCCTGCACCCACATGGGAGATCTGGAAGAAGCTCCTGGCTCCTGGGTCCAGCCTGGCACAGCCCTGGCCATTGCGGCCATTTGGGGGGTGAACCAGCAGATGGACGATCTCTCTTTCTCACTATCTCTGTAACTCTGACTTTCAAATAAATAAAATTAAGTTAAATTTTAAGAAAAGGAGAAGACTGTGCACGGAGAGAGATTGCAGTGGATTCTGGGAAGAAGGGCTGCCCTGTAGCCATAGGAGAGAAAGTGGAGCTGGGAGATTAGCTGGGGCAAGCGGAGGTAATGTGGAGCCACTGAAGGTCATGAGAGAGCTTGGATGGACTGACGAAAACCCTCTCAGAAAGACTGTGTGTGATCCTGTGTCTGGCCGGGGGGCTGCCCGCCCAGCCCGTGCAGGAAGTTAGGGGGTGTGGCACACCAAGCCTCCCTGGATAGCCTGACTGCTGGCAGGCGGCAGGAGTCCCAGGTACATTTCCTCTGCCCCCGACCCTTGAAGGGTCTTGTAATTGACAAACAGCTCCTGGGTGTGGCCCAGGCCCATTAGGACCACCTGGAAAGCTACTGTAGCCTACGTGACCTTCAAGCTGGTTGGAGAAACACGCTGGCACCAAGATTGGCTTTATCCTATAGAATCAGTGTTGCCCTGAATTAGCCACGCCCCCTCCGCCTGCTGTTTGAAAGCTGGAGACTGATTGTTAATAAGCAAACGCCGTCACCCCACCATCCTGGCAGTGCATGGGCCTCGCAGGACGAGCCCACAAAGCTCAGTGCTCTGGTGTTGATAAAGTTTTGGTGTCTCATGTATTGAAGGCCACACCTTTTTATTTATTTATTTATTTGAGAGGTAGAATTACAGGCAGAGAGAGGGAGAGATCTTCCATCTGCTGGTTCACTCCCCAAATTGCTGCAATGGCCGGAGCTGGGGCAGTCAGAAGCCAGGAACTTCTTTGGGGTCTTCTTTGTGGGTGCAGGGGCTCAAGTACTTGGGCCATCTTCCACTGCTTTCTTAAGCCATTACTAGAGAGCTGGATCAGAAGGGGAGCAGCCAGGACACGAACCGGTGTTCATATGGGTGCGAGTGTTGCAGGCAGAGGCTTAGCACCAGCCCAAGTTCTTGTAGTCTTATGTAAGTGGTGAATGGATTAAGGGCATAAACGTAATCTAATTGTGGTGGCTGAAGGCTGGGCCTCTGGGAGGTGATTAGATTGAATTAGATCCTTAGGGTGGGACCCCCAGGATCAAATCATGGTGGCTTTAAAAGGGGAACCACACAGCCATAGACAGTGTGTGCCTCCTCTCTGCTTCCTGGCTTGCCATGTGAGATCCTTCCTTCATACTGAGCTAATGGAGCCTGCCCAGTGAACTGGGAGCCTCCAAACGATGAGCTGAAATGAACCTTTTCCTTCATAAGTAATTCTGCATCGAGTGTTTAGTTATAGTGATGGAAGCTAATGCACTCAGTTACTAATACGATTTCGAGGCCGTGAAGAACCGCTTTATTCTTTCTCATCATGTTTTTCTTCTTGGAGTCTTCCATACCTGCTGTGAACAGGAGAAAAAGAGACTGGAAGGAGTGAGATCAATCAAGGAACCTTCTAAGTAAAAAAAAAAAAAAAGGTGGGGACAGCATTGTGGCATAGCGCATAGCTGGTATAGCTGGTAAAGCCGTCACCCACGATGCTAGCATCCCATATGGGCACCACTGATTCACTTCTGATCCAGCTACCTGCTAATAACCTGGGAAAAGCAGTAGAGGATGGCTGAATTGCTTGGGCCCCTGCCACTCACATGGGAGACCTGGGTGAAGCTCCTGGCTTTGGCTTGGCCCAGCCCTGGCTATTGTGGCCATCTGGGAAGTGAACCAATAGACAGAAAATATCTCTTTTGCTTCCTCTCTATCTGTGTAACTCTGACTTTGAAATATATAAATAAAAATCTTTAAATCAAAATTAACAGGGCAGGGTGTTTGGTATAGTGGTTAAGTCACCACTTGGGATAACCACATCCTATATCAGAGTGCCTGGTTTGAGTCCCAGCTACTCCACTTACATCTTTTACTAATGTGCATACTGGGAGGCAGCAAATGATGGCTCAAGTAACTGGGCTGCTGCCACCGACACGGGAGACCTGAATTGAGTTCTAGACTACTGGTTTTAGCCTAGCTTAGCCCTGGCTGTTCTGGGCATTTGGGGAGTGAATCAAACTTGGGGGAATATCTCTCTGTCTCTCTGCCTTTCAAATAAAATGAAAATAAATAAATAATTTTTTTTTGACAGGCAGAGTGGACAGTGAGAGAGAGAGACAGAGAGAAAGGTCTTCCTTTGCCGTTGGTTCACCCTCCAATGGCCGCTGTGGCTGGCGCGTTGCAGCTGGCGCACAGCGCTGATCCGATGGCAGGAGCCAGGTACTTATCCTGGTCTCCCATTGGGTGCAGGGCCCAAGCACTTGGGCCATCCTCCGCTGCACTCCCGGGCCACAGCAGAGAGCTGGCCTGGAAGAGGGGCAACCAGGACAGAATCTGGCGCCCCGACCGGGACTAGAACCCGGTGTGCCAGCGCCGCAAGGCGGAGGATTAGCCTAGTGAGCCGCGGCGCCGGCTAATAAATAATTTTTAAAGGTTGAGAGAGAGAGAGAGAGAGAGAGAGATCTTCCATCTGCTGGTTTACTCCCCAAATGGCTACAGTAGTCAGATCTGGGCCAGGCCAAATGCAGGAGTGAGGAATTCCATCCTGGTCTCCCACATGGGTGGCAAGGATCCAAGCCTTTTGGACCATTCTCTGCTGCCTTCCCAGGTGCATTAGCAGGGATCTGGATTGAAGTGGAGCAGCCAGGACTTGAACCAGTCCTCTTGGTAGGATGTCAGCATCACATGCAGAGGCTTAACCCACTGCATAACAATGCCAGCTCCCCAAGTGAAGATTTATTTTTTAATTAATTAATTTATTTGAAAGGCAGAGTTACAGAGAGGCAGAGGCAGAGAGAAAGATAGAGGTCTTCCATCCACTGATTCACTCCCTGGATGGCTGCAATGGCCGGAGCTGTGCTGATCTGAACCCAGGAGCTAGGAGTTTCTTCTAGGTCTGGCACATGGTGCAGGGGCGCTAGGAATTGGGCTGTCTTTTATTGCTTTCCCAGGCCATAGCAGAGAGCTGGATCAGAAGTGAAGCAGCCAGGACTAGAACCGGCGCCCATATGGGATGCTGGCCCTGCAGGCAGCCCCTTTATATGCCATACCACAGCACCGGACATGAATATTTATTTAAAAAAATATTTATTGGGGCCAGCACCGTGGTGCAGTAGGTTAATCCTCTGCCTGTGGTGCCGGCATCCCATATGGGCACCGGTTCTAGTCCCGGCTGCTCCTCTTCCAATCCAGCTCTCTGCTATGGCCTGGGAAATCCGTAGAAGATGGCCCAAGTCCTTGGGCCCCTGCACCCATGTGAGAGACCTGGAAGAAGCACCTGGCTCCTGGCTTCCGATCGGTGTAGCTCCGGCTGTTGCAGCCATTTGGGGAGTGAACCAACAGAAGGAAGACCTTTCTCTCTGTCTCTCCCTCTCACTGTCTGTCTACCTCTCAAATACATAAATAAAATCTTAAAAAATTTTCTAAAAAATATTTATTTACTCGAAAGGCAGAGAGAGAAAGAGAGAGCAATCTTCTGTCCACTGGTTCACTCCCCAAATGGCCACAACGGCCAGAGCCGGGGCAATCCAAAGCCAGGAGCCAGGAGCTTCTTCTAGGTCTCCCATGTGGGTGCAAAGGCCCAAGCACTTGGGCCATCTTCTGCTGCTTTCCCAGGTGCGTTAGCAAGGAGCTGGATCAGAAGTGGAGCCCCCAGAACTGGCGACCTTATGGGATACGCGCTGCAGGCAATAGCTTCCTACTATGCCACGGTGGTGCCTCCCCCCGCCCCCAGCCAAGTGAAGCTTTAAAAACCACCTGCTGGGGTGTGGGCAAGGAACTGGGGCCACAGGCAGTCAGTGGGCCCCACCGTCTCGTAGGTTTGCAGTGGCCCTGTGGTATCTTCCGTGCAGCATTCTCTCACCGGCTCTGCCTCTGTCTCTTCCCACAGCTCCTCATTAAGCTGAAGACTCAGACGTCCACGGAGTACTTCCTGGAAGCGTGTTCTCGAGAGGAGAGGGACGCCTGGGCCTTTGAGATAACGGGGGCTATTCACGCAGGGCAGCCGGGGAAGGTGCAGCAACTGCACATACTGAAAAACTCGTTCAAGCTGCCGCCTCACATCAGCCTGCAGTGAGTGCCTCCCCCCCACCCCGCCGCCCCTGCAACCGCCCGGCCTCGCTGCAGCCTCTCCTGTCTGTGGCCAGTGGGAGGAGGACCAGGCCCGGCTGGGGGCTGTGGCTGCCACTCAGGGCCCTCAGCTGTCCCTGTCTGGTTTATATATATATATATATATATATTTTTTTTTTTTTTTCTCTCTGCCTGGAAGTGGCCTTGTGTACCCACCCTGCTTCTGTGTAATCTCTTGGCTGCTGATGCTTTTTCTTCTTCTTTGTTTTTATTTTTTAAGATTATTTGAAAGGCAGAGTTACAGAGAGAGAGAGAGAGAGAGAGATCTTCTATCTGCTGGTTTCCTCCCCAGATGGCCACAATGGTCAGACCAAGGCCAGGGGCCAGGAGCTCCATCTGGATCTCGCATGTGGGTGCAGAGGCCCAAGCAGTTGGAGCATCTTCTGCTGCTTCTCCAGGCACATTAGCAGGGAGCTGGATCAGAAGCGGAGCAGCCAGGACTCAAACCGGAGCCCATATGGGATGCCGGCACTGAAGGCGACGGCTTAACCTGCTGCACCGCAAATGCTCTTGGTTTCTGTTAGTGAATGAGGTGCACACCTCGCTTCATTTTCAGCCAGGGAGATCAGAGCCACATCACGGCTCCCCAGGAATCTCCACCTACCAAGTTGGTCTTGCTTGCTGCCTGGTGGCGAGAAGGATGCATTCTGGGAGCAGCTGGCTGCTTGCTCAGTGGGGGTCCTCATTCACCCAGCAGGCAGTCACTGAGTGCCTTCTGCATGCCATGCACGGAGCCGGGTGCTCAGCAGATGCAAATACAGATAAGCAAAGTCTCATCCAGCCCGAGTACAGAAGCAAGAAATGAAAAAAGCGTCTTCCGGTGGTGGTAGTAATTGTCTTCCAGGGCAGAGGGAAAGCTGGTCTGTGGCGGAGGTGATTTGGTGAGGTAGGGGCATGCAAAAGGAGTTCCCATCTTGGAAACTCTCTGGTTTGCAGGAGAAGCTGCTGACCTCCCAAGCAGCAGAACCGTTGTGCCCATCAACAGTGTGGCATCCGTGCAGTCCTGGGCTCCGAAACTCCAGCCCTGGCACCGAAATCTTGACTGTGCACCTTGCGTGCATAGGAGCTGCTACACTGTACTGAGTGCTGGGAGGAGCAGCAGAGGGTGGCTGAGGGGAGGACTCAGAGACGCGTGCCCTTGAGAAGTAGCTGGAGGGATGTGGACTTAATGCAGTCAATCAGTGAGAATCACCTGGCTGCTGTACGTTCCTGTTTAAGGTAAAACTCACAAGTCCTTGCTCTTACTCCCAAAGTAATACCTGTCTGGCACAGGAAGAACAGAACATTTAGAGGATCCAGGGGAAGGAAAGAAAGGTCTGCAAATCCTGCCTTTCAGATTCTGGAGTGTGACCGGGTGCTCCTTTGCTGGGGTGTCCCACGGTTTGGACCCGTGGCAGTGCCCGGCGGTGCTGATGCGAGTCCTCTCTCCTTTGCCTGCCTTCCCTGCAGTCACATCGTGGACAAGATGCGTGACAGCAGCAATGGGATCCGGTCAAGCCCCAACATGGAGCAAGGAAGCACCTACAAAAAGACCTTTCTAGGTGAGCCTGCCCCTCCCCGCGCAGGGGCTGGGCTGGGCAGTGGAAACCCGGGAGCTGATGATCGGGGCTCAGGCACATGTTTGACCGGCTCCTTAGGAAGCTGGCCAGAGTTGCCTGCTGGACAGTGGGCATGGCTACAGCTCTTACAGAGCTCCCCAGGGCTGCTCAGGGGGTCCAAGTCAGTGAGGTCACCACTTCCTGTGGCTGGTCTGTGGTCTCTCATCTGACGGGCGCTGCCCTTGCCTTGACGCAGGCTCCTCCTTGGTGGACTGGCTCATCTCCAGCAGCTTCGCCGCCAACCGTCTGGAGGCCGTGACCTTGGCCTCCATGCTCATGGAGGAGAACTTCCTCAGGCCAGTAGGTGTCCGGAGCACGGGAGCCATTCGCTCCGGGGATCTGGCGGACCAGTTTCTGGATGATTCCACGGCCCTGTACACTTTCGTGAGTTAGGGAGGGGGTTCCCCTGGCCACCAGGGCTGAGGGAAGGGAGAGGCAAAGGAGGGGGTGCAGGGGGCTTCACAGTCTTAGGGAGAGCTTCATCCCGAGCGCACCCTGCAGCCTGGGCTGGGGTCTCTTTTCTAACAGCGCTTGCTCTTTCCTTTCCACTAGGCTGAGAGCTGCAAGAAGAAGATAAGCTCCAGGGAAGAACTCAGTCTCAGCACCGTGGAGTTAAGTGGCACGGTGGTAAAACAGGGCTACCTGGCCAAGCAGGTATGGCTACCTTCGAGCAGGGAGGAGCAGGACGGTTGGCAGACCCCGGGGTCGGGGGTCAGTGGCAGGAAGGAGCCAGAGAGAGGGAAGGCTGGTAATGCCGTAGCGCACTGCCCACCAGCAGAATCTGCGAAAGCGGGGCCCTGGGTCAGCCATGGGAAGCGAGGTGAAGAGCAGTGCACACACACACACACACACGTGCTCACTCTTTCACACGTGTGTGTGGACCAGCTCCAGAAAAATGTACACACACAGAATCCTCACAACACTGAGAAAGAACTTCTACGCCATTGCCCATTCACACTTACTTTTCTCAGAAAATATGGATGGCTGGCTGGCTTGATGTTTTGCACCTGCTGGCCTTCAGCCTCCTGGGGCTTCGTGGGGGCTCTGCCTTCCTTTGTGAGGCCCTAAACATCCCCTTGGAACACTCTCTGAACAAAAGCTAATAATTTTCCTCATCCAAGTCCATAGGGTGAAGATCAGATTCTTCAGGGTAAGCTCAGTGATGAAAAATTGGCCACGGCCACTGCTCCTAAATAGCTGTGGGACAGCAGTTGTGTTAAACTGGAAGCAAACCGTCTCCCAGTACCTGTGCGTACCTAAAGTTCTATTCTGTGAACAAAGCCACGTCCCGTACTGGAGGTGGAAGCGGTTTTGCCCAAGTCCTGTGAATGTGCGTGTCTGTACAGTGGGCAGGTACCCGGCTCAGCACCACTCCCACTGTGGTTCTGAGCAAGCACTGTCGTTGTCACCTGTGTCTTGCATGTAAGGATCCCCAGCTGCTCTTAGATGATTTACCATCCATGGAGTTGCCTGTCTGGCCCACGGACTCTGCTTCTACTGGGCCTGACTTGGGTCCTCGGTGAGGGGAAGGAGAGAGGCCCCTGGGAGGACATGGAGAGGCTCTGAGGGAGTTCCAGGCCATGCCAGAGGGCTAAGGAAGATCTGTGATCCGGAGTGTGGGGCTAATGAAGTCTCTCTCTCTTTCACAGACACACACACACACGTCTTCACATTTAGGGTTTTTAAAAATTATATATTTATTTTATTTATTTGAAAGGTGGGGGGGGATGAGCGAGGGAGAGAAAGAGAGAGAGAGAGAGAGAGAGAGAGAGAAAGAGAGATCTCCCATCCATTGGTTCATTCCCCAAATGTTGCAATGTCTGGGACTGGGCCAGGCTGAAGCCAGGAGCCTGGCTTCATGCAGGTCCTCATGTGGGTGGCAGGGCCCCAGGTAGTTGGGTTAACTTCTGCTGTTTCCCAGGTGCATTAGCAGGGAGCTGGATCAGAAGCTCAGCAGCTGGGACTCAAAGCTGCACAGTCATGGGACAGCAATGTTGCAGGTGGCAGCTTAACCCGCTGCACCACAATGCTGGCCCCTCACTTAGGTTTTGTCATATAATGAATTATTTCTTGGTCTTTTGCAAATGCAGAACGTTCGAGGAGTTTTGCGCATATGTGTGCACGTGTGTACACATACATGCTGCTGCAGGTTGGTTTTTGGACTAAGCTACCCTTCAGGTGTCGGTGGGTTCAGGTTTGCCTGTGAGCGCCCAGTCCAGCTGCCACCCTGCCCTCCTTTATGGAGTGGTGTCTGGGTAACGTGTTCCCTTTCCCTCAGTGGTAACTCCCTTTGGCTCTGTCCACTTGACTAATGTGACAGTGGTTTGTTATTTTTTTTTCAAAGAGGACTATTTTATTAATACTGATTTAGCTTCTGGTTCTTTTAAACTAAAAACTGGGTGCTTGCATTGTGGCATAATGGGTTAAGCTGCCAACTGTGATGTCGGCATCCCAAATAGGTGCCAGTTTGAGTCCTGGCTGCTGCACTTCTGATCCAGCTCTCTGCTAACACACCTGGGAAAGCAGTGGAGGATGGCCCAAGTGCTTGGGCCCCTGCACCCATGTTGGAGACCTGGAAGAAGCTCCTGGCTCCTGGCTTGGGCTTGGCCCAAGCCCAGCCATTGCAGGCATTGGGGGATGAAACAGTGGATGGAAGACCTCTCTTTCTGTCTTTCCCTCTCTCTGCAACTCTGACTTTGAAAAATAAATAAATATGGGGCTGGCACTGTGGCGTAGTAGGTTAATCCTCCACCTGCGGCTCCAGCATCCCATTTGGGCACCAGTTCTAGTCCTGGCTGCTCCTCTTCCAATCTAACTCTCTGCCGTGGCATGGGAAAGCAGTACAAGATGGCCCAAGTCCTTGGGCCCCTGCACCCCCATGGGAGACCAGGAAGAAGCTCCTGGCTCCTGGCTTCGGATCGGCGCAGCTCTGGCTGTTGCGGCCATTGGGGAGTGAACCAACAGACGGAAGACCTTTCTGTCCCTCTCACTGTCTAACGCTACCTCTCAAATAAATAAATAAAAACCTTAAAAATAAATATTTACACTAAAGGCTGTTTAAAAATTGACAGGTAACAATTGTCTGTATTGAAGGTGTTTTTGCTGAAGTGTCACGCGGCAGGGGCTGATGTCAGGGCAAGTCCGGGACCCATCGGTGCAATCCCAGGGTTTCCCGGATTGTTCTGAGAAGGCAGTTCCGCTGGCGCAGGCTGGCTTGGTGGGCTTTGGCGTTAGCTGCATGGAGGCGGGAAGGAGGGACATGGAGCTGTCTCTGATGAGCCCATTCTTTCCCCCAGGGGCACAAGCGGAAGAACTGGAAGGTGCGTCGCTTTGTCTTGAGGAAGGACCCTGCTTACCTGCATTACTACGACCCTTCTAAGGTGTGTGCAGCAGCTCACCTGGCACCTGCCTTGTGACGTCTCCCAGCACAGCAGGCCGCCCACCGGCCTTGATGCTGTTGCTCCCCCTCTTCGTGGAGGAACGACACTAAACCCTGCCCAGGCTTCCTATCCGAGTCACGGCACCATTATGTCGCTCCCCGTCTTCGTGGAGGAACGACACAGGACCCTGTGCTGTTCTTTTGTCTGCTCGGCCCTCCCCGGGTTTGCTGCTGGTTCTTCCCGGGTTGGCTACCGTCCCTTCCACCTCCGTGGAAGGGCGGTTCCCCCAGCCACATTCCCCACTTCTGCGGGGGAGCGGCACACTGCCGGCCGGCTCTCTCGGGGGCTGCACAGGTGTTCCTTCAGATAGATGTTCCCCTTAGATGTTCCTGGTGCATGTTGTCTCTCTCCTCCTTTATAGTCCTCTTCCACCAATCCCAACTCTGCTACCCACACGCCGAGTACGCTGCTCTCCTCCAATCAGGAGCAGGTCCTACAGTTTATTGGCTGAACTGGAGGCAGCTATGTAGAAGCTGTTTCCCTTCTCAGCGCCATATTGTGGGAGAGCAGATGCATAGAATAAGTCTTAATTCCAGTAACTTAGTCTAGTCCGAGTTGCTCCCCACAGATGCCTCTCCCAGCTTCCCCACCAAAGCTGCTGCCGTTCTAAGTCTGTCCCTTGCAGCGCTCTTGCTCTTCCCTGATCAGCGAGAGCTTTCTTCCATGTCCACTCACTTCTTGTGGCAAGGCAGCATCATTATTTTGAGAGAAAAACCCAATCTGTCTTGCTTATTCACTCCCCCAAATGCCTGCAGCCACTGGGATGGGGCCAGGTCCTAGGACACAATCCAGGTCTCCCAAGCAGGTGGCAGGAATCCAATTCCTTGCACTATCGCTGCTGCCTCCCGGAGTCTGCATCAGCAGGAAGCTGGAGTCAGAAGCCAGAACCAGGGATCAAACCTGGGCACACAGATGCAGGACACAGGCATCTTACCTGGTGTCTTAACCACTAGGCTAAACGCCCCCTTTCAAGAAAGCATCTTTTAGTTTCCCTAGAGCCTGCTTTGATCAGACTCCCAACTGGCTCTTCCCAGCCTCTTCATCCTCTTCTATCTAAACATCCCATTAATTCTGTCTCCGTTAACCTGTAGTTCCCACCTACGTTTGGAGGAGTTTCTTTTACCATATAATTTTCGAGCTATAATTCACTAATCATCTTGTTTTTAAAAGAATTCACCAAGGGATTGCTCTTCTGAACTTGAGATAATAAGCGTGACTGCCTATTGAATTAATTCCGATCAAAAGAAGAGAACAATGGCCTTTTGTTGGGTTGTTCAGCCTCGTCTTGGTGAATGTATGATTCACTTTCCGAAATAGGGAGGAGTGGGCAGCTTTGGGAGGCCCTGCTGTAAGTTGAGAGCAGGTGGGGAGACTCCACCAGGACACAAGGAAGGACTGAGGGTTGGGGAGAGGCATGGCGGGAGGGCTCTCTGAGGGGTTAACCGCAAGGAATTCCAGAAAGCACCCTGGCAGTGTCTCGGGCTAGCTACAGGACAGAGTTGAAACCCCCCAGTGGTTAGTAAGGAAAAAAATACACAAATGGATGCAATGGACGGTTGCATTTTGCATTGCACTGTGTGCCCAGGCAACGTACTCCCCTTGTGCCCTGAGTCCACTGCCTGAGTGCAGGTGCCACCCTACAGGCATCCTGGCTCCTTGCTCCCTGGCTGTGTGCTCGTCCTGCATCCCGCCCTGGCTGCAAGCCCTGACCCCTCTAAGGATCTGTTTCTCAAGTCTCTTCCCTGAGGCTGCCCTGGAATTCTGCAGGCGAACCACAACCTTCCCTCCTTGGGCGTCTCACGTGTCAACATCTCTGGTGTTGTTATTTTTTTTTTAATTTAATTTAATTTAATTTTTGACAGGCAGAGTGGACAGTGAGAGAGAGAGGGAGAGAGAAAGGTCTTCCTTTGCCGTTGGTTCACCCTCCAATGGCCGCCGTGGCTGGCGTGCTGCACCGCGCTGATCCGAAGGCAGGAGCCAGGTGCTTCTCCTGGTCTCCCATGGGGTGCAGGGCCCAAGCACTTGGGCCATCCTCCACTGCACTCCCGGGCCACAGCAGAGAGCTGGCCTGGAAGAGGGGCAACCGGGACAGAATCCGGCGCCCCGACCAGGACTAGAACCCGGTGTGCGGCGCCGCAAGGCGGAGGATTAGCCTAGTGAGCCAGGGTGCCGGCCTCTGGTGTTGTTATTTAACTGCTTTTTGTTTGCTGTTGTCTTATGAGGTTGATTATTGATTAATGGAGAGGATGCTGGGCCCGAGGCACTACTTGGTGTATGTAACTGCTCTGAGTAACCTGAGATACTGCAAACTACAGTTCTGTTTTGCCAGGCACGTATAGAGACTTGCGTAACAGTGTACAAGGTGCAGGAATGTCTGTTGGTTTTGCAGAAGTGACAACTATCACTCTGTGTCATTTCTGTTGGCTGGCAAGATGCACAAGAGGGTTAAGGAGGCTGGCACATGCTTCTGGCATAGTGCAGGTCAGAGGCTCTGAGACATCTCTGGACATGAAAAGCAGACCGGGTTTTTTAAAAATAAAACTTCTTTTTAACATTTACTTATTTATTTTATTTGAAAGGCAGATGCACACACACATAGAAAGAGAGATACCTTCCATCTGCTGGTTCACTCCCCAAATGCCTGTAACAGCCATGCTTGGGCCAGGCTGAAGCCAGGAGCCAGGAACTTAATCTGGGTCTCCCACATGGGGAGCAGGGACCCATACTTGAGCCGTCAGCTGCTGTGTTCCAGGATGTGCATTAGTGGGAAGGTGGAACTGAACGTGCCGTGGGGGTTGGAACCCCGACAGTACTTCAGTATGGGATGCGGGCAGCCCACACGGTGTCTTACTGCTGCACCAAATGCCTGCGTGCCGACTGATTTTCAAGTCTGCTAGACTGCTAACAGCAGCACTGGTGGGCACTGTTGCTACTGGCTATGAAACAGAGGCTCAGACCTCCTTACTGGTGCATGGATCTTGGCCATGCAGTGTCCAAGTTCAGCTGCTTCTTCTATTACGACCTGCACTGACTTGAGCTGGCCTGATCAAGGAGAGCTGTAGGGACAGCAGCTCTTGCCTTTGGTACATTCACAATGTTTCTAATTAGGTTTCCTTTCCTCTGCAGGAAGAGAACAGGCCAGTGGGTGGATTTTCCCTTCGTGGTTCCCTTGTGTCTGCCTTGGAAGATAATGGCGTTCCCACTGGTAAGGTGCAACTTCGGCCCTGGCCTGGAGATCTGAGGGTCCTCTCTAACCTCAGTAATGTCCACTCCTGCAAGACTAGGCTTTGGAAGCTGAGCAGGCCTTTCTCAGTGAGAGGATGGTGTGAGTGTTGAACGATTTCTGAAGTTAGACAAAAGGGCATGGTGTGTTAAGCATACAAGCAAATACTCCTTGTTTTTAATGTAGTTTCCCCTCAGTTTGTGTGCTGATGGCCCATAAACTTCCACCTAAGAATAGTAGCTAAGTCCCACACAGTGCTGAGGGTTAACAACACACTTTAGTACCCGTTAGCTCAATAATTTCCCTAGAGCTGGCTGTGTCAGCTTTCGGCACTATAACCAAGGGCCCGAGACAGACACATTTATGAAGAGTCTGGGAGGTTCAGAGCCCATACCCCATGGCACGGGCTCAGCAAGTGCTGCTCCCTGGCTGTGGGCCGTCATGGCAGATATGATGGCAGGAGCTTGTATGGAAGCAGAGAGCAAGAACTCCGAAGGAGTCGTGCAAGAACTGCCTCATGCCCCTGAGGATCTAAGTGCCTCCCACTAGGTCCCGCCTCTTGTTTTTTTTTTTTTTTTTTTGACAGGCAGAGTGGACAGTGAGAGAGAGAGACAGAGAGAAAGGTCTTCCTTTGCCGTTGGTTCACCCTCCAATGGCCGCTGCAGCTGGTGCGCTGCAGCCGGCGCACCGCGCTGATCAGATGGCAGGAGCCAGGTGCTTCTCCTGGTCTCCCATGGGGTGCAGGGCCCAAGCACTTGGGCCATCCTCCACTGCACTCCCTGGCCACAGCAGAGAGCTGGCCTGGAAGAGGGGCAACCGGGACAGAATCCGGTGCCCCGACCGGGACTAGAACCCGGTGTGCTGGCGCCGCAAGGCGGAGGATTAGCCTAGTGAGCCGCGGCGCCGGCCTATTTTTTTTTTTTTTTAGGAAATGAAGATTTAAAAAAATTTCAAAGATCTATTTATTCAATTGAAAGGCAGAGCAAGAGAGAGAGAGAGGGAGAGACAAAGATCTTCTGTTCTCTGGTTTACTGCCGAAATGGCCACCAGCAGCCAGGTCTGGGCTAAGCCTAAGCCAGGAGCCCAGAATTCCACCCTGGTCTCCCAAATGCGTATAGGGGCACCAGCACTTGGGCCATCTTCTGGTGCATTCCTGGGCACATTAGCAGGGAGTTGGATTAGAAGTAGAGTAGCTTAGACTTGAACCAGCATTCTGATACGGGATGCTGGCATTTCAGGCTACGGCTTAACCCACTGCACACCAAAACACCAGCCCCTAGGTTCTGTCTCATAAAGGCTCTATGGTACCAGTACGACTACCCTGAACTAATCCTCTAACATCTAGACCCATGGGAGACGACCACACCTTATCTAAACCATAGCACCAGCTATAGCAGGAAGAGAATATTATCCCCATCTCATGGATATAGAAATTGAGGTTCAAAGAAGTCACACAATTTGAAGTCAAGCCCCAAAATTCTGTGCTTGCTAACATTTTGATGGGAATGAATTTGTAGATTATGGTTAGCACAGAGGGCAGGCAAGAGGGTTTCTAGGAACAGACAGGCCAGGCCTGAATGCGAGGGAGGAAAGGGGAAGGCGTGCACCTGGGGGATGCTTCTAAGCTCACAGTTTGTATTTAAGAAATAGTTCCTTGTATTATTTCTGTTCCTGTCTCGGTTCAAGCTGAAAGCGGACAAGGCTATAAACCACTGATTTTTTTTTTCCTTTGCCCAGGGGTTAAAGGGAATGTCCAGGGAAACCTCTTCAAAGTGATTACTAAGGATGACACACACTATTACATCCAGGCCAGCAGCAAGGCTGAGCGCGCGGAGTGGATTGAAGCTATCAAAAAACTAACATGACAGCACCCGCGGAACAGGGTCAGCTTCCTCCCGGGAGATCCGGATTTCCTGGAGAACGGGAGTGTGTGGGGACTTTCACTTTCGTACGTTTTGTACTGCTTTGGAGTGAGACTGCTGGAGTCCCTTGGATCTGACGGCAGTGGTGCTGCCTCCTTCCCCGTCTTCAGAATGTCTGCAGCGAGGAGAGGTGTGAACAGCCTGTCACCGTCAGCAGCTGGACTCCTGCCCACCCAACAGCCATTCCTTGGCTCCTTCTGTTGGACGCTAACACTGGCCGCGCCGTAACATTAGACCTAACTCTGGTCTCCTGCGGCTTTCTCTGAAATGATGTCAACAGCTTAACTCCTTTAGAATGAATAAAGACTGACATTTATTTTTGGCTATTAGAATTCCTGTACAGTCTTATAGTTTTCCAAGGTTTCCCAGTTCCTGACTCTGTTGTTCAAGTTGGTTACTGAACCATTTTAGGTGATCTGTCACTAAGACATACTTCATATCTTAACATTTTTAAAGTTTATTTCAAAGGCAGAGACAGAACGAGAGGTGTCCTCCATGGATTCACTCCCCAAATACCCACCAACAGTCGGAGCTGGGTTAGGCTGAAGCCAGGACCTGTGAACTCAATCCAGGTCTCCCACATTTGTGGCAGGGACTCAATTATTAGACTCTCTCTCTGCTTCTCCTCTCTGTGTAACTCTTTCAAATAAATAAATAAATCATAAAAAATAGATTAAAAAAAAGCTATAAATGGCCCTAACAGCCAGGTGTGGGCCAGGCCAAAGCCAGTATCCAGGAACTCCAATCAGATCTCCCACATGGGTGACAGGGACTCAAGTACTTCAGTCATCACCCACTGCCTTCTGAGGCACATTAGCAGGGAGCTGGACCGGAAGCGGAGCAGCTGGGACTCAAACCAGCAGTGCAGTGGGGAATGTCCGCTTGATCACCAGCAGCAGCTTCAACTGCTGTGCCACAGCGCTGGCCTGCTTCTTAATTTAGGGAGGGCGGCAGACTTTGAACATTCAGAGAATACTGCCTTGCTTTGGAAAATAGGCCTGTAGAAATATACACTGCAGACAAGAAGTCATAGACTTAGTTGGACATAACAGTCAAGCATACCAAAATAAATAAATAAGAGTAACATTACAGCTTTTCTATGAAACATGGGCCCTTACAAAGATGCACGGGAGCCTAGAGAAAGATGTGAATAGGAGAGAGTTAAGGCATGGGATGTTGGTTTTAAAATGAACGTTTAACTGACACAAATTCGTCCCAAGAAACTCTCCCAGCGGGCGGTTAATCTGAAGTAGTGAAAAGTCTGTATCATACAGCATTTTTAAAAGAAGTTTTATTACTTTCAAGTTTATACAGTAATCTGGCACAAGCTATTGCCAGCATTCTTGCCAAGTACAAGTGCTTGGACTTCTTTAATGAGGAGATAAAATATGTAATTTACATTTAAGGGGGAATGGATACTTCCAAAGTGCTTAAGTAAAGAATTTAACAGTTTAAACTGTTTCCTCCTAATCTTGCCTGGAATACCTGACCCAACTGATAAGGAATTCCAGGCAAATGGTTTATTCTTTAGGTCGTGAGACTGTCTTCTACAGCACCCATTTCCCATATGGCGGTTCACTGAGGTCTAGTGCTCCTGGAATTACTTTATTGCTTTTTGACTATCAGCAAGCGTTTATCTTACATTTGGTCCGACGGCTGCCTGCCTTCAAACTTGCGTAACTGCCTCACTCTATGGGAGATGTCAGGATCTCCCTGGGTTCCCAAGTAGACGACCATGAGTTTGAGGTAACCCAATGAACAAGTGGTGGCAAGGTATTGGCACCTGAAGACATCTCTAACCATTTAGCTGTTCTTGATGTAAAACAGGCAGATCATGAATGGTTGAAATGTTCCTGCTTAGCATGTCTTTGTAGCTCCCACTAATTAAGTGTCTGACCATTATCCACACCAGAATTGGTTTGTCTTGTTTTGCTAAAAACTTGATATGAAAATGATTTGGATGCTATTACCCTATGGCCATTACAGATTTTCAATTTATGCAAAAATGAGACACACAGTATTGCTAATTTTCAGTTATGAGTTGACAACCACTTGAGTTCAATCACAGGCGGAGTAAGGGCATGAAACTGTTAAGATTTTAAATGAAAAGACTCTGGTGGGAAACCCATTTGGGTAAGCTGTTCAACTGTCTTAATTCTGCTTGTTATTCAGAGTCAGGTATGTATCTTGTCCTCATGTATTTTGCATATAATTTTAGTTTGTTAACTTCTTCTTCATGGCATCAGTTAAATACTGGTCTTTTCTATGGCTAGGGTCATCAATTCACAAAAACTGTTGTGGAACTTAGCAAAAAGCCTATATAAAAATGACTTATCATGGAGGATACCAGTATTTTTCCAAAGTGCAAGTAAACAAAAAAGAAAATAAAAAGAAAACCTAATTCCCCTGGCTCACAGCAAAAGAGCACCTGTAATAACTTTGATGACATTCTTGATATTATATGCTTTATAAATTTTGACATCTCAAAAAAAAAAAAGCCGGCGCCGTGGCTCAATAGGCTAATCCTCCGCCTTGCGGCGCCGGCACACCGGGTTCTAGTCCCGGTCAGGGTGCCGGATTCTGTCCCGGTTGCCCCTCTTCCAGGCCAGCTCTCTGCTATGGCCAGGGAGTGCAGTGGAGGATGGCCCAGGTGCTTGGGCCCTGCACCCCATGGGAGACCAGGAAAAGCACCTGGCTCCTGGCTCCTGCCATCGGATCAGCGCGGTGCACCGGCTGCAGCGGCGGCCATTGGAGGGTGAACCAACGGCAAAAAGGAAGACCTTTCTCTCTGTCTCTCTCTCACACTGTCCACTCTGCCTGTCAAAAAAAAAAAAAAAAAAAAAAAAAAAGCATGAACATTACATGCTAATTCTGAGTACATTCAGATTCTCTAAATACTCCCAATGTAGCAAACCGGGAGCAGTCTTCATTACCTCTTGGAAACTGGCCATTTGAAGTTAAACTTCTGGATTTAAAAAGCTGGTATAGGTTGCTGCCACATTATAGGGATTAAGCTTCCTAATTGGCACAAACTCTAACACATCTTTCACTTCTGTTTTCCAGTCCCTTTAGTATTACGTCTAACCATGGACTGATCATAGTGGTTTATATTTAATCTTCTAAGCATTTCAAGCTACTCCTAGGGCTAATAAAATTAAGTATGACTGGCACCTTAAGAATCCTAACAGATTAAATCTACAAAGACAAGCAGACCAAATTATTCTGCACCTCACTGCTGCAGCTCTAACTTTGAAAACTGTGTTACCTATGAAACTGTGCGTATACTTTAACACAGGGGTAGGGATACTTTTTTCTGCCAAGGGCCAGAAAAAAGGTATCTGTGACATCATTTGCAGGTCATACAAAATTATCAACTTAAGACCGTGGCTCACTTGGTTAATCCTCTGCCTTGTGGCGCTGGCATCCCATATGGGCACTAGGTTCTAGTCCTGGTTGCTCCTCTTCCAGTCCAGTTCTCTGTTGTGGCCCGGGAGGGTAGGGGAGGATGGCCCAGGTGCTTGGGCCCCTGCACCCACATGGGAGACCAGGAGGAAGCACCTGGCTCCTGGCTTTGGATCGGCGCAGCGCCAGCCGTGGCAGCCATTTGGGGAATGAACCAGCAGAAGGAAAACCTTTCTCTCTGTCTCTCTCTCTCACTAACTACCTGTCAAATAAAAAAAAAAAAAAAAAAAAAAAAAAGAAAGAAAGAAAAGAAAGAAGTTAGCCTGCTATAGATTGAATTTGGAGGCCTAACAATTTCATGGGCCTTAGATGGCCCACAGGCTGGACCTTCCCTACCCATGCTTAACATAACTAGCTCTTTAAGATAAAAATGACAGCAATGCTGATTGTGTTCAAACAGATCCCTGTTCTGTCAGAAAACTGAAGCTCTATGTGGAACCTAGTGGGTATTTTATTCTAAGGAGGAGGGGTATCAAATTTTGGGTGGTGATACCCAAAATAGCTAAATCAAAGCAGCAGCATTTTTTTTTAAAGGCAGAACAAATTCTACTGCCCCAAATTACAAATGCAAGGCAAGGAGCTTAGTACACCAAGGAACCAATTTTCTCTCACACCACAGGTTGTCATCAGCTTCAAGTAGGCAAAAGGCACACACCTAGTGTAATTCTTTAAGTGCTTGTTATTAAGTCTCTTTCCCCCTAAGGATCAACTTTCACTGCAGTTTTCCATAAACTCTCCTTTTGATAGGAGCTGTTAAATAGATCCACTGTTCACCTGTCCTTATATTTCTCTATCTAGACTAAAATGAAGGTAACAGAATGAGGGTTCTAGCATTCAGAATGCTCTCAACTGGTGACACGAAGGAAGAAACCTATAGTTAAATATCCCAGAGATTTATTTCATGTTTGCTTGAATACATTTTATATAGAAAGGTTGGGATTATCATCATTTACTCTCGGTGCCCCTGGCAAATCACATGGAGGCACTGAATTACAAAGGGGTGCCGATTTGGAGACATCAGAAATGGAAATCACAAGCCCAATTTTAGGACTGTTCTTAGCTTAAAGGTTTGTCTCTAGTGAAATTAGGCCGCTCCCTTAAAAAACGCTCAATCTGTTGGAGGTACTGTGTGAAAACAGCAGACAAATAGGAGGGCATTTCATATGTTCTGGTCTGTTGGAAAATTTAAATACTTGGAAATAAAAAATTCAGCTTTGAAGTTTTCAATACTGGAAAACTTTCAAGTCTAGGGTTTGCCACCAGGAAGGGCTGCTTTGTGTTCCTTAAACTGGACTACTTCCCAGAGTTAATCTTCAGCTTTCGCTTCCATTTCTTCTGCATCGTCATCTCCATCCACTTCCGCATTTTCTCTCTCGAGCCTCTCCAGCTGCCTTGCAAGTTCAGTCTCATCTGTATCTGTGACCACTTTGGGCTGTGAAACAGGCGTAAGTTCAAAGTGAAGTAGTTAAATAGTGTACAAATTCAATTTCAGTACTACTACTGCCTAGTGTTTTAATTTTAACTTGTAAACAATTCTCTAACAACTTTATTCACTCAAAAAAAGTTGATGCATTATTATTTGAGAGGCAGACACATCAGATGTCCAGTAAAAAAATGCATTTTCTGGCTTCAAAATACTCTTCTAAAGGTTTCATTATACACGTGTGTGCATGCACACATATGTATGTAGAGACACAGAGAAATTAGGCTTCATTCTTGAAGAGAGGAGGGGAAGATAGGAGACTACTCTTGCTTCTAATCTTGAAATCAAACTTTAAGCATACCACATTTCAATTCTGACAGTAAAACATTTCTCCCTGTGGGGAGAAAGCCTTAACACCATTGGGGGCAACAGGCCTGAATAACCATT